GTGGCTGTCAGGGTCAACACCCGAAAAAGCACAGTAGGTTGAAGGTAGTCCATTTCCGGGTCGGTCAGCATTGGTTCCGCAGTTGCGGCACATTGGGAAAAACAGGGACACTCCGACATGAAGGTCTAGAGGTCGAGCATGTTTAAGCACTCTGCTGGCCTTCAAACCCAGGTTTAAGCACTCTGCTTATGGCCTTCAAAGCCAGGTGGTGTTCAGCTTCTGTTGTCCTTCAGTGTCGACCGTACCGTTCACGCGTTCGTGGCCGTTTCCGCTGCCCACCGAGGTGCCTTGAGGTTGGCCATCGCTCCCAAGGTCGGGAGAGCGTCCTTACGGCCGGTGAAGCGTCGTCTAGAAGCGAAAGATGGCATGAGCTGCCTAAGACCGTGGAAGACGATCCCATGGACTCTGAAAATCTTGTCGGTTGGTAGAGGAAAACACTCGGACCCAGGGGGCCAGGACGTCAAGGTCTATGTGAGTTTTTGGGAGTGTAAGACCGTTGATCTTCATGGGACATGATGGGACTGGGATCACATCTTACCCCTAGAAATCCCCATACCGAACCTCAGGTTGGGTACGACTGGGCCCTCCTGGCGCCTAATTACATAACAGTGCCTCCACACATCACCGTACCTGAGGTTCAGTACGACTGGATCCCATAAAGTAAAAAACCATCCAGCCCTCGCCATCAGCTTGTTCCAATCGGAGCTCCAGATCCCTTGGGATCGCTCCAGGAGCGATTTCAGACGCTGAAAGAGGACCGCCGCGGGAACGGCATTCGGAGCGTCGGTCGGTCTTGGGGACAAGGGTACCGGTGGTGACGAGTGGCGTCCATTTGGTTGGTAAGCCTTGATAGTCAGATATAGTCAGTGTGTTGATGTTCTTTGTTCTCCAGGGGCGAACATCGTGTCATGTGTTTTGAAGATCGCTTGGGTGCTTTCACCTACGTGAGCTTCTCACCGTCGTTTTGTTTTCTCCCTCACTGCTTGCCACCATGGTCACTTCCTGGTGCCTCGCCAGGAAGATCCACACGTGTTGGTGCAGGGAAGGCCGTACCTTCTTTCTGTCGTTTTGCGCGATGATGAGCTTCAGGAGATGCGCTGGGTGCGGGAATTTTAATTCTGACTCATCGGTGCAGCCGCAAGAAAAAGAGCGACCACTATCCACCAGAACCCAACGAACGCCACCTAAGTGGAGATGCGAAGGGCTC